GGGAGTTTGGTCTGCATTGAAGGGTTTCTTTTCTTTTGCTGTTGGATGGCCCTCTACAGCGCTCGCAACAAACGCTGTTAAACTTAATTTGTTGTCATTAGCGTAGATGAGCATTACCGAGACATAACATAGGTAATACACGCCACTGACACGAATGCAGTCAGCATTTTAATTTAACCGAACTTGTATCTGCATTTTAATCTTGATATATATATAATTTTCCGAAAGTAATGACTTCAGAATAATTTCTGTGTAATTTGATATTCTCGCTACGATAAGCACGAAGATTCATGTCTTCTGGGATGTGACAGAAACAACATTCAGGAAGAACTGCCGCCTTTGAAGATGGGGACTCCTGTTTCCCCTGACACTTAGGCACAAGGTTAGGGCCGCGCCATAGTTCAAGCGGTTAGTCGCTGGCTTCCCACCGCGGTGGCCCGGGTTCCATCCCGGGTCTCGTCAAGTGGGATTTGTGGTGGACAAAGTGGCGCTGGGGCAGGTTTTCTCCGAGTACTTCGGTTTCCCCTGCCAATCTTCATTCCACCAATTGCTCCACAATCACCCTCACCTATCATCTGGGGCTGGTACAATAGGCCAGAAGTGGCCGCAGTACAAGGGACTTAGTCCCACCCCACTAACAATAATAAAAAATAGGCACCAGGTTACTCCAACTACACAACTTCACATCCCAGAAGATAGGAATGTTTATATCTTAACGATTAGTGTGCGAAATTTGTTCAAGTACCTACAGTTTTTCTGTTTGGCTTTAGTCCTCACAGTTTGTTGCCCCGTTCTAACAGGTCTCTCATGGCCCAATTACTGGGTTGGTAAGTATGAATATAGACCTTATGGATGAATGCTAAGAGAAATTCATTTCTATTTCAACAGAATGTTTGTGATTTATCTGGTTGACTACCTACACTGACTGGGATTTGTAACTGAAAGTCTAAAATATAACAAGCGATAGGTTTCCAGTTGTCTGTCAGTGAAGGTAAAGGAATATTACAACATTCTGATGTATGTTGCAAGTCTGATGCTATTTGCTTGTATCTGCAAACTAGAATAGGCCTAGAAGAGAAACTGTTCTAGAGAAAAAATGAGTCACATGATCTAGTTCTAGATTTTACTGGAAGTTTGCTAATTGCTTTGATGTGTTTGTGTTACAGGTTATGTAGTATTTATTTATTTTATGTATATTAATAGACTGCAGAATATTTTGGTTAGAGAATGATAGACATATATCCGTTTCTATTTTTAATTTCATAGAATTTGTTTTATATTAAATTATTTCTAAACCATTTAATATTTAAATTCAATAAATTATTTATGATGACAGTTATGTACATGTTTTATAATTCTACCTGTAGCATTTTAATATTATCATATAAGAGTTAAAATAAATATGTATAAATTCTGTGGAAAATTAGTGTAACGTCAGTGAATCATTTGGTATACTAGCGTCCGTGCTAGTAACTTTCTCTGCTTTCTTCTGTATTCCTTTACACTCCTACGTGTTTCTGAATATAAAATGAGGCAGAGGTTCGATGTGATCCCCCCACGAATAATTGGACATTCAATCGTACTCCATACTTCATTATCGGTCTTAGTGATATTGTTGATGTGTCCTGAACTATTAACATGATCCTCTCTATATCCTTACGTTTCCTAGGGAATGCCTTTCTTTTTATTTAAACGGAATTATGGCCTATTGTATTAAGTTTCGAAAGATCAAGATCCTTAGAGTGTATTTTAAATGAATTGTTAGAATTGTGCCGAGAGCAAACTTGATCTTCCTTTCGAGGATTTTTCTCCTTTAAGGATTTCTCTCATTAAGTTCTCACCTATCTTAGTTTTCTGCATTTTCCTCAGACACGCCTCTTTCTCTCCCCTCCCCGGCGCTCTCTGTTTGACTCTCCAATCCAATTGTGTGTCCCGAAAGTCGGTGACTTTATATTTGACGGACATCTCCATATCAAATCACCCTTCTGTGGTCTAGTGGTCAGAGTTCATGGCTACAGATCCAGAGGTCCCTGGTTCGATTCCCGGCTCTACCAGATTTTCTGAGAAGTGAGTCTGGAACGGGGTCCACTCAGCTATTTCAAGGAAATAGCGGCTCCGGTCTATAACGCCAAGACGGGCGTGGGAACCTTTGCGCTGACCACGTGACACTCTCTATCCGCTAAAGTTCGCACTAACTTGGCCGACAAGCAGCGGTCGCTCGGTCGGTATAGTTCGCTTGCGGACTAACACCATGGAGTTTTTTTTTTTTTTTGGTTTTGTCCGTATCAGTTCGTATCCATTTGGAATTTGTCCCAGTTTTTATCACCCTGAGAGATTAGCGTCTCCTGAGGAATCCCTTTCGCCGGCACTCGCTGGAATTTGTAAAGCAGGTGCCGGTTTGTAGGGTAAAGATTACGGCAACTCGAAGGTAACACCTGTCAGCGTCATTCAGGGCCAAACGGCGAGCATTCTCCCACATTCCGATACTAGACGAGTTGCGAGTTTGTTGAACATGAGCGGAAATATAAATAAATATTCAGAGGGCCACATTTAATAAAATTAAATTAATTTTAGAGAGCGTTAGGGTTTGGTGGAAGCCCGAGAGTGGTGGTTATACCGGAGCCACCTTTTTATCCGATTTCCTGTTCTTCCTTCCTCGGGATCTGTAATTATCTCATTTCACACTTTATCCTGTATTCTCCTTCTTAATTCCCTTTCCCAAAAGTCCTTTCTGTTATTTATAATTCCGTGCTGTTATCTTTATTTGTTGTCCATTGCCCTTGTCCAAGAGGCACGCGGTAGCATAGTTGGTAGAGGCACTATGCTATAAGCCGGAAGGTCGTGGGTTCGAATCTCGACGGGGTTATTGGATTTTTCATTTCACATAATCCTTCAAGCTGTAATATGGCCCTGGGGTCGACTTAGCCTCTAACAGAAATGAGTACCAGGAATCTTCCTTCCGGGTAAAAGGCGGCCGGAGCGCAAGACTGACCTCACCGCCGTCTGTGAGCCGAATGTCTAGAAAATGTGAGAGCCAAGACGTCTCACAACCCTATGGGCCTCCAAGGCCTGTTACAGGAATAGCTTTACCTTAAACCTTTCCCTAAATTTGACTAAACTTAAGCAGATTTTCCACAAGTTTCTAACCTGTAAAGATGATAAATCCTAAATTCTAAAACACTGAGTAGTTACTTGGATACTGCATGAAACGCAGCCGTTTTGTTTTTGCATCTCTGTTGTAGTAGCATGTCTTCCCACTCAACCACATGTGCAACCCGTGCAAAAAACAATGTTTTGGTTCTACGACTAAATTAAATATAAGGAAATGAAATTAATTTCTTTAAGTACTAAACGGCCCCGTTACTTAACGGACAGTTGAAGAAAATGCAGACACTATTTTCTGGGATATAACGCCGTGATGTCTGGTAGAAAGTTTCCCATGTTTCTCAGGAACGTGCTTCTTCCATCTTCAGAGCCTAAGAGTAGCTCAGGCAAACGGCTAGCAGAGTAAGCAAAGAGTGGAAGAAGTGATACGGGAAGGAGGAAGAACTTTCCTCCGAAACGTCGGTAAGATTTTATCTGTCTGCATGGCGTAACATTTCAGAAGATAGTAAGGTTTGTAGTTATTGTCGTGATAATAAAAAATGTCCAGACTCATAGAATGTGAAATTCTAAAAGAGTTTATATTTTTTCACATGAGATTTATGGTGTCACGACTGTGAAGATTGGTATAAGTTGGCGTTGCGTTATGACATCGTGTGGTATGGTAAAGTGGACCTTCACGTCTCCATCTTTAGTTTCTATGTAAGAAATCGTTGTTCTAAAAAGGACAGAAGTAGGTATGTTAATGCTGAAGTATGTTACAAATACATTGTGTTCTCATTTGCCAGTGAGAATCTTCAGTTAAACCGAAGTACAGGTGTTCAATTTATGACGCTGCGAACTTCGCAGTATATCAGGTACTGAGCTTCAACCTTCCGACAGGCTTCCAGGGGAACAACAGCCTCATATAATGGAAACGCCAAATCTTGATTTTAGTCTAAACGCTTTGATGCTCCTCGAATGTTCTAAATTAAATTCTTATTCGATTTGGGGTCACGCGGTAGCGTAGGTGGTTGAGGCACTATGATACAAGCCGGAAGGCTCCGGGTTCGAGTCCCGATGAGGTGGATTTTTTTTTCCAATTGACCTAATCCTTCTAGCCGCACTATAGTACTGGCGTCGACTCAAGCTCTAATAGAAATGAGTACCAGAAATCTTTGTGAGGGCTAAAGGGCGGCCTGCGCGTAAGGGTGGCAACCTTACCGCCATCTGTTAGCCTACTTTCTAAAGAAAATGTTGGAGCCTCGATGTCTCACAATCGTATGGGCCTTCAAGTTCTGTTACAGGGACAGCTTGACCTTTTAGCTTATTCAGTTTGATTAAAAATTTATCTCCACGATTAAAATGGAATGGAGATGAGGGCCGCTTATGACCGCAGTGTCACAGCAGAAGTGTTCAAACCTGCACTGTATGTTGTGTGTATACATGTTCGTTGCGCGTCGTTGTTTGTTTCGAGGTTCTCAAAAGAGGCAACTGTGAAAGAAGCGATCTTCTCCGGGTTGATACCGTTTATTTCACAGAAAGGGTGACGTTTCGGAGGAACATATCACCTCAGTCTACAAGATAAAAACAAGGTTCAGATGTTTTTTTTTTTTCGTTTTGCTTACTCTTCAGTCCTCATTATGGAGGATATTCCTCCGAAACTTCGGGCTTTCATCGAATAAAACGGCGACATCACGCAATAGATCTTACAATTCTTATTAAATTCTATTTTTAAACAGGATGTGAACCGGAATGACTGTACCAGGACCCTCGTCGAACACGCACTGACGCTTTTGCCCCCTCAGGTTGCCCGCCGAACGTGTGACGTAATCTAGACACGGCTGGCTAAAATGTTCATTGACCCTGGTGACTCACATCGATGTTTGGAACTAAAATTCTTCTCTTTTGCTCTTCAGACTTAGCTGATGATTCTCCTCCTGAACCCGCGCCTCCAGAGGTCCCCCCAAGGGGCCCATCTCTTCATCATCCCCTACAAGGGCACGCGACACTAAGGGGCCGGTCTGGGGGCTCCACCAACTACAGCCTAAGCTCTGGTCCTGGGGACGCCGACAACTTAGATGACCCGGACTACGCCCGAGGTGCGAGTGCTGCTGGTGGCAACGCCTGCATGTTCCTGTCTCAAGGTAGGGACTCTCCACTTCTCGGTAGCTCTAAGGTTGCTCAGCTGACGCCGGAGGTCCACATCAACAGTGACGCCACCGAAAGCTGCGACAGGGTGGCCAGCTCACCTGGTTCTTATTTTAGAGTCACAGTCCCGCCTTGTCAATCGCTTCCTTCCATATCCCTTCCAGTTCGTTGTTTTGCCAGTCCTGCACTTTAGACGATGTCTAGTAGTCTTAGTGAAAACGTCGTTAAATAAAAAAAAATCGCGTGATTGTTGGTTTTCGCGGTGGCATTCACTGTTCACTGTTTTCTTCTTCCTGGTTGCTTGGTTTAGTGTTTGGCCCTGAAGACAGAACCAGTATATTTACCGAAGCATTTGTAAAGTACATTCCAGAAGGTAGTACTGTTCTCAGTAAGAGTTGTGAAAACCTAAAAAAATGCAACAGATTACTTAGTTTTTGGTTTTGCGAGAGCGGTCTTAACATTCAGTGGACTCTCGTACGGAAGTTGCGAAGTTTCTGCAGAACTGAATACCGATTATGCAAATTTAATCTTTACTTAAAATATAAACGCCTTTATTAAGATAAACGTTTCATTACATTTCATTTCCTGCACATATTTCTCTCGGAATAACACGAGTGATTTCGTAATAAGGTTCTTGGAAGCAGGTTGCTCTACAACCACGCCTCTCATAACCACACTGTTACATTAAGTTACTTAGTAAACGAAAGGGGAAAAAGTAAATTCGTGTCAGTAATGGAGACGTTTTAGTACTGTTTATATAGCAAGTTCTCTTCTTTCCTTTAAATGGACATTGGGAAAGTTCAGCAGGGAGAGACAAAGGATCGCATTTAGATGTTGTTATAAGGGTTGGAGATAAACCAGACTTCTTTCCCCACGCTGCAGACTGTTAATCTAATCCACAGCCCCCCCCCCCCCCAGTTCAGGGGCAGCGGAAATCGAAGAGGACGCTACAGTGTTCATGCTCACATCCCAACATTACGTAAACTGGATGCGCTGTGTGAACGAAGCTGATCGGACACGAAATCCGTTTTTGTTCGGCAGACCATTGTTGTATGCTGAATACTGGACAACAGTGGAAACAGTGTGGCGTATAAAACTGGTTTTGTGAAAAGTGGCATTTTGTGTGCGTTCTGGGGCACNTAATGCTTCCAACCGCATTGTGACCCTAGGGGTGGACTCAGCCTCTAGCAGAAATCTTGTCTTTTATACTCTTCCTAGTGTGGCGGGCCAGGATAAGCCAAGTCAAGTATATTTGTAGATCTACACTGTCATTATTTATATATTCATAGATTATGACCTCAGAAATATAATTATTATCATCAGAGCTGTTTTCGAGAGAACTGCCATTCTTAGTGTTCAGGGGCCCAAGTTTGGCCGCATTCACGCTCACTTCTGTTTGCAACAAATAAAGAAATTTCGCTTGAGAATTTGAACGGGGTTTTGCCGCTACTTGGGTAAGACTAAGCGGTCTAACAGCGTCTGAGCGCAGTTTAACCCCTAGACGCTTAAACTTCCTGCAGTGGAGCACATCGAACCTCCTTTCCTACACAGCTCCCTGCTTTCCCTGCAGAAGGGGATGTTTTCCCCTCCCGCCCCGCTGGGTGAGTAGAGACCTCTTAACCAACACATAAGCCGGTTTATTGTTCTCTATTAACTTATTAACTCGTGGGTTATTGGTCCAGACTGTGGCTATGTCAGGCGCGAGTTATGGCCCGGAGCCATCAGTTTATCTTTATGGCTTTGGGCGGGGACAGGCCATACTCCACCCCGGAACACGAAATTCAACTTTGCCTCAATAACAGAGCTCTTAGAAACCACAGATGCGCGTCTCATGACGCCAAGTGTGTTTCTGTGTTCTTCTGTGGTGTTTCTCTACTTTTTTACATTTCACGTGTCTTCCTGTGGGCGCGTTTTAGCTCGTAGACTAAGGCAACCGCGTAATTTTAGTGCGCTTCTTGCAGAATGAACTGTTACGGTGGCGTCAGCCTTTGAAAATTCAGAAAACAAAATATTGTTACTTTATGTACCACCTGCTTTCATGCTAAAGGACACCGAATTTTGCCCAAAGGGCTTATTTATGTGTTTCATATGATTCTCAAAATGAACGGCGATTATTTTGCTAAACAGGATTAACTAAAGAGATCTTCATACTGGACATGATATATGTTTACTATGAGGCGTAAACTGAATTCTACAATATTATTTTTATAAATTTCAGATTTGAAAGAATGAACATAAAAGTACTGCCATTTTATACGCTGTTCTGTATAGCTATGGAAGGTAATATCGTTAACTGAAAGAAAATATACACTGTAAGAGTATTAATACAATGAAGTAGGAATGGAAGATCCAGCTTGGAAGACCTAGGCGTAGATGGTGTGATAATATTTAAATATATTCTTAAAGGAATACAATGATATTATCACATGATGGAGTCACTACAGACAGGGTTTTTATTTGTAATTGGATTTATTGAACTCTTACAGATCCATGACTAAAAGTAATTCCTAATCGTTTCACTAATTCACACACTTTACAGTCCACTAGAGCACACAATTAAGTCTTCTCAGACTGCTGTGTCTTCATCAGTCGTTCTCTGGTAACGGCTTCCAACGGCAGAATTCCCCTTCCTCTGGATTCCAAAACCGCCCCGGCCTCAGCTACCAGCCTGACTCACTCACCAAGCAACTACTTTTTACTTCACTCAACTCAGCTGATCCACACTAACTATCCTGCTCATAACACCTCGGTACGGACCGCACTGAAAACACCGTTCCTCTGTAGGTGTTAGGGCCGTTTACCAGGAACAGCCGCTGTCTAGTTGTCGGTTTTGCGGTCGTTGGTTTGTAAGGGGTTTTACATGTGAACGAGATTCATAAACCTCAGAAAGAAACAACTGAGCGGTTCTTGTGATCACGACAGCTTACCTGTTGGTGCTACAAAGCGTTCTGAGGAGCTGATCGACTGTCAGCTTCACAAGAAGAAAATGAGTTATAACAGTTCACGAACCTCGGACAGGAAATATGACGCCATGTAGCCTGATATTAGCTCACCGAAATTTCCGAGGGACTTACTTCCTCAGTTTTCAGGGTCGTAGAATAAACCAAATAAGCATCTAAGAAGTAGGCGTTTTTCAAAACTGCCGGAGAACATCTACAGAACTACACGGCGTCACATCCCAGACTATTGCACTCTTCATAAGGATATCATACCGAAACCTCAAGAACTTTTGTTGGACGAATGTATCGAGCCCGGGTCTTGTGGTGTTAAGAGGAGGTGTTTATGATCCATTATTGATGTGGCCGGCAACACTATGCATATATATGCACTGAAATCTCAGGCGGATATTCTGAACATTTTGCGTGATAATTATTAAATGGAACTTATTTTTATTAGAAACTGACGTTATTGACAGATTAAAAAAGGCATTTATTTATGGCACGTCTGTTTCTTGTTCTGAAATTGCCATGATTCATAAACTTCATTTGGAAACACGTTAATAGGAGTTTTTATTCTGCTCAAAATAACTTCGTTACGTAACGATAAAGAGAACTGGTTTCGCTGCTCTTCCATGTCGGTTGCTTCACGACGCTGTCAATAGATACAATCTCTGGCATCGAATGGTACGATCATAAATCAATAGCGAATTAAAAAAAAATGGTATAGTCTTAGGCCGATCGGAGTACTGCCCCACATTTACCTGGAAGGTCTGAGGAAAACCAGAAAGGCTTCAGCAAGAACTTGACCCCGCAGAGACTCAAACCGAGAGCCCCCCAATGACGCGTCAAGAGCGTTACCGCCACGCCAACCTGCACGTTTTCTCCCTGTTGCTCTAATGCAGCTATTACGTCAGAGCGTGAAATTTTCGTTAGAGGTTGTGTAATAAATTGTCTCATTTCTCCTGATGGAATATGGCCACTCATATATTTTTCTTCCGCCAGTGTGTTCATGCTGCAAGAGTGGATTATGGAACCTTTGATGTTGCATACGGCTTTTCAGAGAAGAAATCCGCTTAAGGAATTACACGTGCGAAAGTTTCTCAGTGTTCAGTGTTTAGCATTTAGTAGATCGATGTTTCCAGTATTGTCAGAACATTGCTTTTATGTGAGAAGTATTTTGTGTCATTATATGCAACATTAAACTCTCTTCCCAAGAAATAATCACGTGTGTTCAGTGACGCGGCATGCCCCACACATGTGTGTATATCCTTCTATAGGTAAAGACAGACATTTAGTAAGGAGAAGAGTGATCATTGTTGTTACGCAATTTCGGATTATTATAAAAGGTAAAGCGCCGATCACAGAGGCCGCGCGGTCTAAGGCATGAACTGCCTTTGCTCGCTCGAACACTGGGATCGTAGGTTCGAATCCCACTCAAGGCATGGATGCCTGTGTGTGTTTATTATGTGCTTGTGTTGTGCTGTGGGTAGGTAGCGGCCTTACGACGGACTGATCCCTCATCCAAGGAACCTACCGTCCGTGCAAAAAAATTACGGAATTGAAGAAGAGGTCAGGGCCCAACAAAGGGCCGTAGAGCCATTGATGAATGAATGAAAAGGTAAAGCTATCCCTGTAACAGACCGTGGGGGCCCATAGGGTTGTGAGACGTCGAGATTCCCACGTTTTCTAGACAGTCGGCTCACAGATGGCGGTGAGGCTGTCAGCCTTACGCGCCGGCCGCTCTTTACCCTCAGGAAGATTCCTGGTACTCATTTCTGTTAGAAGATAAGTCGACCCCAGGGCCATAGTGTGGCTGGCAGTATTAAGTCAATCGGAAAATTCTATGATCTCATCTGGGATCGAACCCGTGACCTTTCGGCTTGTAACAGTGCCTGAACAAACTATTCAAATAATTCTGCTTGCTTGCGTATTCATTAATTCGAATAGCTGTGTCACTGTGTGTGACGCCACGTTTTGGAGGAAATTCCTCTTCCATGTTCAGGGGCCAATAGTAAACTATGTAAGAAAACATCAAGGAGCAGACAGCAAGCTAGCTG